GGGGGGGGGGGGGGGAGGGGGGAGAGGGGGCTGCTCATAGTCCTGCGCCCAGCCTGGGACTATTTTCTTACCCACCGCCCCTGTGGGGGACAAGGTCCAATGGACTATTTCTTTGCCCAAGGGCATGGGGAACCTCCGGCTGGAGGAGTCCTGGCAGGTATCCCTCCACCCCGCCTAGCACTATTTCCTCCCCTGGGCAGGGGGGCCCAAGCAGGGAGCCCCCCCCCCGCCGCCTGTATCCCTGCGCCCCCAGGGGGACTATATCCTGGGGGGCACAGCCGTGCGGTGCCCATGCCCTCCCCGTGCCCCCCAGGCTGCTCCTACCACGGCGTGACGGCCACCCACGGACAGAGCTTTGCCGACCCGGAGGACGCCCAGTGCTCACAATGCACCTGCCAGGTGAGTGCTGGGGGGGGGGCCGATGCCCACCCTGTGCCTCAGTTTTCCAGTCACCAGATGTTAACTCTGAAACCTAACGATGACTGTGGGGCTGGAAAGGTCATTCTGCAGAACCAACCCCCACCCCCTCACACACACCTCTCAGGCTGGGGGTGGGGTGTGGGGTAATTGCCTACTGGGGAGGGGGGCAGTGGTTGAGCTGGTTGGTGTGGTGTGGGGCATGGCTGGGTGCTTGCATGGAGCCCCCAGAGCAGCCCTGATGCCCACCCCCCGCTTGTCCTCCAGGCTGGGTCAGTGCAGTGCCAGAGGGGGCCATGCCCGCCGGCCTCCTGCCCCCACCCTGCCCCAGGGGCCTGCAATTGCCCCCTGTGCCAAGGTGAGACCGGAGGGGGGCAGAAAGGGGGAAGGGTCTGAGGGACCCCCCTGGGCTGGGGGGGGGGCGGTTCTCTCCTTCTCTGACCCCTCTTCTCGCCCCCCCCAAACTCAGGCTGCCACTTCCAGGGCCAGGACCTTGCAGACGGGGAGACCTTCGCAGCCCCGCAGGACCCGTGCGAGCAGTGCCAGTGTCAGGTGTGTGCGGGGGCAGGACATGGGGGTCCCTGGCACAGCTGGGGAGGGGGTGCAGAAGGCGGTTGGCTCTGGGGAGGGCCACGGCCACACACAACACTGGGCGCAGGTCCCGTGGGGATGCCGGGGGTCCAGGATCGGGGCCCAGGGCCGAAGGGGCTCGTTAACACTGCTCTCTGGGCAGGAGGGGGCCGTGCTGTGCGCCTGGGTCTCATGCCCCCCGCTGACCTGCACCCACCCAGTGACGGAGCCGGGTGTCTGCTGCCCCCGCTGCCAAGGTACTGCGGACCCCCACCCCCACCCAGCCCCACTCCAAGCTGAGGCCATCCTGGTGCCA